AGTTCCAGGACAGCTGAGGCTACAGGGAGACCCTGTCTCAAAAAGATGAAAAAAATAAATAAATAAATAAAAAATAAAGTCTTCAAAAATAGGGATGCCAGAAAGCTCCTTAGAAATACAGCAGTAAGCACCAGACCAGCTGTGAGCTGTGAAGAGCATTAAGTGGCTGACAACTGACATACCTGACTTATACTCTGCACTTTACCTGATGATTTTAAAAAAGAAACACAGGGTCTGGAGAGATGGCTCCACGGTTAAGAACACTGGCTGCTCTTGCAGAGGACCCAGGTTAGTGTTCCCAGCACCCACAAGGTGGCTTACAACTGCCCATAATTCCAGTTCCAGGGGATCCAATGCCCTATTTTGGCCTCAGCAGACATTGTATGCATAGATCTACTTACATATTATGTATAGGCAAAACATTCAGACACAGGAAGTTAAAATTTTTAAAAAAGAAACACAATCATACTCTAAGGAAACTGGGCTATCATAGCTACCACTGGTATCTGATGACTGGATTTCAGGTTCTGAGGCATTTATTTCCTGTGTGACCGAGCTGTAGTTTCCTCAGCTATAATATTAAAGCTAAAATCCCTTGTGCTTCTGCAACGTAAATCATCTGGATTAGGGACCAGAATAGAAATGGACTTAAAAGATAATTCTATAATCTGCCAGATAAATGAAGTAATGTGCTTACTATCTATTAGACTAAAATTCTTTCTCTTGAGAATATATTGTCTTCTAGAAATTTCATATATCATCATCCTTGCATGCCTATTTTTCATTAAAGAAAAATTACCTTCACAGTCAAATCCTCCTCACCCAGTGTGACATGAACTTGAATCGGGGGGTAGACACTTTTGTTGGCATGGTGCTCCATGGTCGCTCTCATTGCATTCTGAAATATATTAGGGCTACATTAATATATAACTTTTTAAAAAGAAACTATAATTTTGAAGCACATAGGCACTATTTGCATTTTAAAGATCAGAAACTCAGTGAAAATATGCCCCTAAATCGTAATTCCAATAGCCATGAAGGATTACTTTTTTATAAAAATTGAGTCAATTCTGGGGGAGTTGAGAGAGATTTTGATTTAAAGATTCTAACTAAACTCTTCCTTTTTTGTTTTTTTGAGACAGGATCTCCCAGTCTGGCCTGGAACTCACTACGTAGAGCAGGATGACCTCAATCTCACAGAGATTCACCTGCTTCTGTCTCCTGAGTGTTGGGATTAAAGGTATGTGACACTATGTCCAGCATCTATATTTTTCAAAGTTAGTCTTTTAAACAACCAAACTTCTGTAATTTTATTAAATGGTCAAAACTTATTTTTGAAGTTGTTTCAGCTTGAGTTTCAAGAACCAGCTGTCAGATTTCTTTGCAAAAATTTTTTTTCATATAGTAATAATAGCAAAGTACTTTTTGTGATGGTTTCCTTTGTCATTGGTTTGAGACTAAAGGTATTTACCCTGTTGAACTGTTTTTGACTAATTTCTAAAGGTTATGAGGCACCCAAGGCCACCATTGCCTAAGCATAAAACACGACAGGTGGCCCAGGAGTAGAACTAGCTGATAAATACTTCATGAAGTTGGGACCGAATTTGGAAATAGGAGCAAGAACCCTGGCCACCGCTCAGGACTGAGCAGCCCTGAGGAAACTGCACTGTCTCTGCCAGTTTAGATTTCAGTTCCAGACAAAAGTCAATTCACAAGCTTTATGGAAATACGTTACACCATATGGGAATTTTTATTATTAAGCATCACAGGGTATTTATATGACTGAAATTTTAAGGAAAAATGGTTTTAAGAATTAATTGCCAATTGCCATTTACTTAAGTCATTTAGACTGATTTTTATATATATATAAAGAGCATATTTTCACCCTTGCTTTCTAAGACACTGCTGAGTTTTAGTATATTGCTCTTTTCTTTTTCTTTCTCTTTCAGATTTGAGCTACAGTCTTGCTGTGCAGCCCCGGATAGCCTAGTGCTTATACTCCTCCTGCCTCCACTTCCTGAGGGCTGGGAGTACCAAGTTACAGTGTGTACCACTACCCCTGGCCAGTGTATTGCTTTTTATTGCCTTGTCAGACAGAAAACCTCTTTTCTCCTCTGGTCAGCTGTCAGCTGGAGACTGGGTGGCTAAAGGGAGAGAAACTACAGGTCTCTGGTTTATGACAGTTGTCATCAGCCACAGAAACTGATGACACTTATCACCCACCAGCAAGTACCACTGGGTGGGGGCCAGGAGGGGGAGGTAGAGGGTGAGGGGATACTTTCAACATAACCTGCACACTTAGACTGAGTTTTCCAAATTTGTTATAAGGAGCAAACGAAACAGCAGAAGTTCTCTGAGTTCAATACAAACAACTTTCTCAGGGGAAAAAACAAAATAGAAGCCTATCAGTGGAGCTGGCTGAAGGGTGGAAAGTTGGAAATCACTCTTCTAAATATTTTGGTTTATAAAACTACGAAGACAACTTTGTTAAGTACCCATAAAGTGCTCCATTGTACTGGCTATTTGGTATGTCATTCCCACGCTTCACGAATTCTCCTGGCAAGTAGAACCCTTGTTTCAAAGAGGAAACTGAGGTTCACAACTCAATCACCTGCCCACGGTCACAGATAAGTGACAGAATGAGGATTCAACCCCAGGTCTTTCTGACTCCAAGGTCGGGACTATATGGAGGCAGCCATCTGTACAGACAAAAGGCTCATCTCTAGCAATGTCGTATGATACTGACATGAAATGACATCTCTTAATGAAACTGGAGAATCCAAAGGAATATAATTTTCAGAACAGATTCCTAACCTCAGGAAAGGACTGATAAAGGTTACACAATACTATTTTACAAACCTTGAACAGTTCAAACACCATGTGATAGAGATGGGATGGTACATAAACCACTTGTATTGGCTGTCCTGGTGATTTTGCTACAGAGCAGAAGAGAAAAATATGAAAGTACAGAGAGATGTGCTTCAAGCATTTTTAAGAATAAATTGTGTGGTGATGAAGAGAAAACATTAACTATGGAGGACGGCATTAATCAGGGAAGTATAGTCGCACTGTTTCTTTACTGTGTTAGTGTCTGAACCCTAGTCACATTCACAGCTGACATGACAGGAGTCCTGTGGCTCTTCCTCACAATCTGGTGTACTAAGATAACAAGCTACCCTCCCATACTTTTCTATGATGACAAGTCTTAAAAGACATTCAGTCTTTAGGTAAGAATTGTACCCTCCAAAGACAGACTTCTTAGTAAAAAAAAAAGTTTCGCCTGCGTAGAACACTGTCTATTTCATTCTATATTCTATGAACATAGAACTGAATTTTTAAAAAATTAAGCTAGTATCAATTTCTCAAGGGGTACTAACTCAACATTCAAATATTTAATAGCTAGGGGCAGGCAGAGAGAGGTGTATGTGTAAAACAGACCTTTAGTAGTCCTCACCATATTTCAGAGTAATTTGACCAATAATTCAACTCTAACAAATCAAACCAACAACAGATCAAACTCTCCTCTGAAAACTTCCCTCTGGGGAACATGAACGTGACATATGGAAACTGCCCGTCCCAGTTTAGGCTCCTCAACTATGGCTTGTACACTGTGATTCTGAATGGGTAGGACCACTAAGGAGCTAATATGGCTTGAGGAAGCCACCAAGTGATTCCACTAGGTAACTACACCACTGCTCCCCACCCTTATGAGCCAGAATATGGTGTAATAAAAGCCTATTTAATTTTTCTTCCCATCATCTTCTTAAAGGATCATTTTAACCCAGGAGGGGTTTTTCCCTCTGTCAAACTATCATCAATCTCTTTCCAAACATGTGAACCCTTTGTCCAAAGGCAGGGTGAAAAGATCACCAGAGAGAAATGCTCTCAAGCAGATGAACGGCTTCCTTTCCTTATTTACACCTCAGTCTTTTGACTTCCTCAACAATAAAAACTGATTTATAATTTGGAAGTGGAAAAAAAGATAAATTTTATGGCATTGAAGTATATATAAAAGTCATAATTTTCCTAGAATCATTTTTTTTTCTCATTGTCTCTGAAAAAAAAATTAGCAAAGAATCAAAATTATCAATTAAAAATAAAGGAAGCAGAAAAAGCCGAAGTATTTTTCATAAGAATCAAAAAAAGTGTTGATTATGTGTATGTGTATTGTATGTATGTGTGTAATGTGTTAGTATTGTGTGCATATACATGTGTACTGTATGCGTGCATATGTGGATATGTCTGTGTGTCTATTCATGTATATATGTATATATGTGTCTGTGTATATGCATGTGCATTGTATGCATCTCTAGATATGTGTATGTGTATGCATGTGTATGTGTATCTGTGCATATGTATATGTGTGAGTATACTGTATGTGTATCTGTATGTATTTGCAGCATGTGTATATATGTACTGTATGTATGTCTATACGTGTGTGTGTGTATGTAAGGCATATGTGTATGCATGATGTGTTGTATTTGTATTTGTATGTATCTACGTGTTTGTGTATCTGTGTATATGTGTGTGAGTGTACTATATGTGTCTATACATGTCTCTGTGTGTCTGTGTGTACACACATATATTTCATGATTATTGTTCTACTTTCATATTTAGTAAAGAAGTTGGTGAAAAGGTCCTTTTCTATTCAGGCAACTCTAAACTTTCTCCTGAGTTCTTCTCAGTAGTCAAAACACTAATGACTGAGGAACAGACACCACCAGGCAGGCTTACCATTTAGTTCTTCAAGTTCTAGTTCAGGAGAGTTAATATAATACAAATCACAAAGCCGCCTAGCATTTTCATAGCCATCTAGTGTGAATCAAAACAAAACAAAAAAAGCATTAAATAAATTTACTTCTGTTTTATGCAGTAAGATGCCAACAGTAATGACAAATGAAAATTTAAAACTCTCTTCAGAAGAACATATACTCTACCACTCTTAGTGAGGGAGAAGATCTTTTGCATGACAAAGCCTGAGCCATTAAAAAAAAATGACAGGACCACAAAAAGATTAAAAACATCAGCATGGAAAAACTTACCATAAACAAAGCAAAATAAAAACAGAAGGCGAAGAGAGAATATTTACAATATGTGAATATATGAAAACAGTTTAGGAAAAAGATACCTTTATCCATTGTTGATCGCCTTTTTTGGAAAGTTTTGAAAATTTAAATGCATAAGAATTTTTTAATTATAGAACTCTTGCCTTCTACTAGCAAAAGATCATCATATATGAAGGATGCTTACTATAGCACCGCTAGTAACAGGAAAAATGAAAACAATAAATGCACATTAACAGAAGAGATTAAAAACCAACTACTACATTCTACAGAGACACTTGAAAACAGGGTATATCCACATAGAAATGGCACAGAGAAATGGCTGAGTTTGTAGAAAAATATACGGAGTACTCCACTTCCCAAAGACAACCAAAAACACAAAGTAATTTATATATGGATGTGTATATGGTATCAACAAAAAGCTTGAAAAGATGCAAACTAAACTTATGAATTATTGCTTCTAGTATCAGGAACTAGAAAAGGGGGAGTAGAGACCTCTGTTTTGGACAGTGGCTTACTGCATAGGCCTGAAACTCACAGAGATCTTCCTGACTCTGCCTTCCAAGTGCTGGGATTAAAGGCAGGTGACACCATGCCAGGCGCTTGAATTTTAAATTACATTTAGTGTGTGTGTGTGTGTGTGTGTTGTGTGTTTTTGTGTGCATGTGTGCGTGCATGTGCATGCACATGGATGAGAGTGCATGCCATAGGGCAAGCGGGGAGGTCAGAAAACAACTTGCAGGAATCAATTTTTTCATTTTATCATTGAGTCCTGGGGTTCCAATTCAGGTTGTCAGGCTTGGCAATAAATATCTTTATAAACTGAGCCATCACTCACTGGCTCTTTTTTTGGGTGGGTGCAGGGGTTACAACTTGAATTTTCTGAAGCAAAACAGATAAACACACTTAATAGTATCACTAAACTTTACTAACAAAGAATTCTATCAAGATATTCACCTTATATATAATTAATGTTAAAAGGCAAGTTTCAAACCCACACATTTGTGACTAACATTTTATCTTACAATGCAAATAGTTTTAATATCAAGAAACAACACAGCACTTTGACTTTTGCATCCTTTTAAAAAGGAAAAACGTACTTACCTTTAATAACTTCAACTACATCACAGTTTGGATTTATGCTTCCTATGTGTTTTCGATGAGATGGACTTCCTTTTCCACCAAACAATAAAGCTATTGAAAAATTAAAAACCAAACAAAATAAGCACATCCACCTAATTCCCTTTTCCAGATTCAAGTATTTCTCTAAATGGCCTCAAACAGTAGAATCGGTTCCTTAAAAATAAAGATGGTATTTTAAATTTAATAGAAATGCCTTCTTTGTATGTCAGTGTAGTTTTCTTAATAAACAAAAAAAGTAAAACTTTTAACATTCACTCTAAAGGAACACCTTCTAAACAAACTGAACCCAGCCATACACATTTATGTGGCCACTTGGTTCAGTTTTGGGACACTTACAGTGCTGGTTGAGTAGCATTCTAATTGAAATGCGACTCATGTAGAATCGATCCAAAAAGTACTGAACATTTTGGCTGGTGACAGGATCCACTCCAAAGCTCTCCTTGTATTCAGTCACACCTTGGGCCATTGTGGGAATGACATCATTGTGTCGGTTTCTGATGCGTATCACTGTATCTGTAAAGCTAAACAAACAAATCTGTCAAAACAGTCAAATATTTTGACAAGTAAATTTGATACTAAGATTTAAGCTTAAGCAGCCACAGTGGACAAAAACCCACTAGTTCAGAAAAAGGAACATGAGTCCATGCTTTCCTACACTTGTTTAAATATATTTTAGGTCATAAAAAACACTGGATCCCTGAGGCGTTAAGGCTCTCCAAAATAAAACTCATGTAATTCTTAGACTCCAGTAAGGCTGCCACATAATAGCACTGTAAACCACATTAAGGGTTTCCCTAAGCCACTATTATCTAAGGTCTCTGAGGCTCACTAATAATGAAGATAACATTCCAGAGACACACTACATAAGAAAAGGCAGAGCACTTGCTTCTAGGGAAGCCACACTATATAATGAATGAGAAGGGTGAGCCAGGAAAGTCTGTTTGGAACTATTCCCTAGGGTTCAAAGACAGAAAAAACCACTCAGAACAGCAGAGTGAACAAAGAACTCTAATTTCATTCATCCTAAGTTTACAAAGTGTGAGGAAAAATAGATCACTAGAATAAAAGATTTCAAATCACCCTGCCTTCCTATTTCTGTCAATACAAGGAACGAAAAAAGAGGAAAGAAGGCTTAACTGTGAAGAAAACTGATCTGCTAACAGCCACCAGGAATCACACTCAAAGGAGTGCAGTCCCCCTCTGAGTACTGTTAACTTACTTCAACGATGTTCTCACTGCTCAAAACATTTTGGGGATTCTTAGTTTTTTTATTAGCTTCAAAGGCAAGCTACTAAACCAAAATACGAATTTTTTAAATCCTCAAAAACAACAAACAACTCAAAATTCCAATCCTCTCTTTATTCATTTATTTTGTTTCTCTCTTTAAGAAAAAGTATTATTAGGCCAGGTGAGGCAGTGCATGACTTTAGTCCTAGTGCTCAGGAGACAGAAGCAGGCAGATAGATCTCTTTGAATTCAAGGCCAGCCTACATAGCGAGTTCTAGACCAGCTGGGGCTACAGGGAGATCTTGTCTCAAAAAGACAAAAAACAAAAAAAAGTACTATTGAGCTGAGCATCATGGCTCACACCTGTAATTCCAGCACTCTGGAGGCTGAAGCACACAGATTACCATGAATTTGAGGCCAGTTTGGGCTATAGTAAGATTCAAGGCAGTCTGGGCTACAGAGTAATACCCTGTCTCAAAACAAAAATAGGTTCAGCAGTAAAGTACTTGCCTCAAAAGATGAGAACCTGAGTTCGATCCCCAGTACCCATGGAAAAATGCCAAGCATGGTACCATACACTTGTAATCCCAGCACTAAGAAGGCCAAGAGGAGGATTCCTGGGGCTCACTGGCCAGTCAGTCTACTAGCCTCACTAATGAACTCCAAGCCAAAGAGGGATTCCAAAGGATGACAGCTGAGGCACACAGGAACTTGCATACACATGAAATGCATAGGTACATATGCATGTGCACACATACATAAATTAAAAAGAATACATACATGTATATAGCATGATTCTGCCTGGCTGCCTAACTGCTTACTTTGTTTTCTAGGTTCTGCTTTGGATGACTGTTTTCAGAAGGTTCTATAGCTTCTATAGAATATGATGTTTATTTCTGCTTGGGTCCTCGCTCTACTATTGGCTAGCTACATGACCTTAAGTCTCTTCCCATTTTTGTGTACAAACACATTATCTCATCAAAGTTGTTTAAATACTCAATGACATCACTAACCTAGATACAGAGTGAACTTACAATGAATATTATTTTCAAACCAAAAACATATTTGAAAAATAAAATGCTTTCATCCTTCTTAAAGATAGTCCAAAAACTGTAGAATGACAGATTCCAAGGACAAGTGATCTTTACATTTTGAGCAGCATTCATTACAATAAGCAGATATCTGCCTAAGTGACTAGTTGGGCTTTATCAACTCTGGTATCTTAATTATGAAATTGGAAATATGGCTTACATTATCTTGTAAATCACAGACCACAGGAACCCGTGGCAATGTTTGTATGGCTCTTCCATGTAACAAAAGAAGTATAATCAGTTGCTGTTTTTCAAAATTGGAGGTTTTACATGAAAAATCTAGACTTGCAGCTTGTCTTTAAAACCAGAAAAATAAGCCAGGCCTGGTGGTGTACACCTTTAGTCCCAGCACTTGGGAGGCAGAGGTAGGCGGATCTCTGAGTTCAA